AACGCCGCTTTCCAACTGACGACCGACAAGCTCACCCGGAAGCACTTTCTCAAGTGCCGTCGAAACAAGATGGCGGCGCCCACTTCTTTGCAGCCCGGTAAAAAATGATCCACAGACCAGGACCGGTCCGGGGCCCGGTGGTTGGGGATCACTGTTGTAGATGGCTCCTCTGTTTTTTTCTGGGTTTGCTGGGTCTTTTAGGTTTGCTTAGGATGTTTTGAAAGGCTTTAGTTGGCTTTAGTTCTCCTTTATTGGTACATAATTAGTTGTTTGTCCTTATTGGAAAAGTTAACAGCTGTCTTCAGAGAAACTAGCATGCCAGTAACAGTTGCATTGAGATACAATAGTTTATGGTTTCTCAAGTAACTTAAGACCCATTTCGGTTATATTCCTCATAAGTAATTCTGGACATTGATCTAGAAATGAAGTTCTCCTGAACACCAAGTCAAATTTAAGGCAGGGAGATGGGGCAGAAAGTCCTATAGTACTGTACTGAAACTTACACATTACTCTTGAAAACAAGTTCTAGGTTTTGGGGGCCGGGGTGAGAGAGGTTAAGTTTTTAGAGAATAAATACATCCATTGAAAAGTTCTCTGCAGCAATGAGCATTATCCCCTCTTTGAACTAATGGGAAAGAATCTTAAAGAGAGTGTTTGTAAAGCAATCATTTATTCAGCAATTATTCAAAGTTACAATGACACCGAACAAGGGAGATTATGGCCATTTCTTGTAATTAACCATTGCAGCATCTTGGTGGTCACCTAATTGCAATCCAGATACTTGGAAACCATCCTGCAATTACGACAAGTCTCAATATCCCATAGTCACATGATCATCATTTGTGATGCTGACTGCCAACTTTCATCAGCAAAGTCAATGGAGAATCTGGCAGGAGGTCACAAATGGCAATCACACGACTGAGATGCTGCGACAACATGAGATTTGCCTGATGATGGCAACTGGGACTACCACCACTCTCTTGTGTCGGCACAATCATGTGAAGTTGTGCTTTGTAACTGGGTCACTTAGCAACAGAGATAGCGGTTTCAATTATCCTAATTAAGCACTTATAGTAAGAGCCTGCTAAATAAACCAACGCTTAATCATTTCAGTATTCTGTTCTCAAAAGGGCCAAAGAGGCGCCTACTGATACGGTTATGGTTCCCAGAAACTCTACAGACAGGCATTTTATACTCAGGATAACACACTTTAATCATGATTAGTAGATTTGGTCTAATCTGCTTAAAGAGGTTTGTGGCAATCACTGTTTTTTATGGCAAGAAATTCCAGTTTCTGTACGCAAATAACTTCTCGTGCAAAAGAACTCTTTTTGTATATTTTATTTCTACAAAAATTATACTCAATACTGTGACTTCATAGAAGAAATATCACTTATCACTTTGTCCAGTGTTTCCAGCATTTTTACAGCTCTGTGTCACTTTCTGAGTGTGAGCAGGACTGTATAAGGTTCTGCCAGTTTTACTTTGGAGAACTTTCCAAATAATGTTTATCAATATAAATCTGCCTATTTCACCACAGTCACATACTGAGTCAAAGTTTTCATCATACCATTCGGCACAGTCAACCTCCAGTGAAACATATTCACACTGGTGTATGAAGCCTTACTTGTTTAGGCCTAAGTGCCAGGACTACCTGCTCCCATATAGTCTATCCCGGTGGTTGCCAATTGGGGCCACGTGAGAAAATTTTGGTGGGCCGCAGCATGCGGAGGTGGGGCAATCCTGGAGTCTCCCTAGGAAACTTGTGTCGTGGCTTGCTGTCCCCTGCCTCAGGGCATTGAGGAGGCCAAGCAGCAGCAGGAAGAGCGTGGACCTTTGAGACATAGGAAGCGGCTGCCCTCAGGTGAAGATGTTGCGAGGGGGAGGCTCGACCCCCTTTTCCTCCTCACCGAAAGCGCTCACACGCTCAGCGGGAAGGAGGAGGCTTGTCAGGGCCAGAGGGGTGGTGAGCATTTTTGGCGAGGAGGAAGAGAAACTCTGTGGGGGGCTGCAGGAGATCGCACCCTCTCCTCGCAGGCCAGGAAACACCCGGGAAGGGCTCCGATCTCCTGCACGCCTGCTGTCAGGAGCTTCTCTTCCTCCTCGCCAGAAAAACTCACATGTTCATCGGGAAGGAGGCAGCTTGTCAGGGGCCAGAGGGGCGGTGAGCACTTTGCGTGTGAGCACTTCTGGCGAGGAAGAAGACAAACTCCTGAGGGGGGGGGTGTCGAGCTTCCCCTTTGCAACATCTTCCCCTGAGGGCATCGCTGGCAGCTGCTCAACCTCCTTGATGCGCAGAGGCAAGAGGCAGGAGTAACACCAGTTCAGAGGTTCCTTTTCCCCCAGCCCTACCCGTCGCAGGCCAGGCCTATGCCGCAATCTCCTGCGCGTATGAGTCCCTCTGCCACTGGTATTACCCCTGTTGCCCCACCTTCCTAAGCTGCCCGCTGTGCTGAACCGTGTATGCCCGCGCCCACTGCTTTTTCCAGCAGGGGGAAGCAACCCCTCTGGGCTTGGACTCTGGGTTTGTGACTGATATGTCTTAACTGGGATGACTTCGCCTCGCCCGTGGGACTGCCAAGTAGCAGCTGCCAGCTCCTTTTTCCACACGTCAAGTGTTACCATGGGAAAGAGAGCAGCTGGAGTATCAATGTAGCCGCTCGGTTAGTTCATAATCGCCCTACCCAGAGAAGGAGGTGCTGGTGGAGGAGGCGGCAGCGGTAGTGGAGAAGCAAGCCAGGTGTTAAAGACCTGGGGTGGGGGGAGACTTCCAGCAGCCCAGCCCTCCTTCCCTCCCCCAACTCCAGGCAGCCACACCTGGCAAAGGAGGGAGTGATTTCCTGACTTGGAGATATGAAATGACAGGACACACACACACATATATATATATTCATTCTTAAGTTTTCGCAGGTACTTAAATGTATGGTATTCAGCTTTGTTCGGGTATT